GGGATCTTCCCTCTCTGGTTTCCGCCCCAGAGGAGAAGGAAAAGGAGGTGACTGTGGGGCTTCCTGCCTCTCAGCCCAGGCCTGAGACCTCCAGACCATTGGACGGAGCCTGTCCTTGAACACACCCAAGGCTGTTTAATGTACCTGTCAGCTCCTGATATAACTCAGCTCTAATAAACAATCCTGTTCTGACCTATCACTTCTCAAGAATAATTCCAGCTTTATCCTGTGTGGCAATGATACTAACCCATCCAACTGTTGGTTTGTTAGTCAAAGCGATTTCAGCACCTACTCTGTGCAAGGCATCGTGCCAGACACTGAGCCACCATTAACCCAAGACTGGAAAAACAACCAACCAGACAGAGGCCCCATGTCATCCTTCTAAGTTCTGCCCAAGCATAGGGTTTCAGATGCACTAAAACAGCAGCAAACAGGAATGTGGACAAACGCAGCCTAATTCCAGCACCACCCCTCCCAGGACTTTGACAAAGCAGGGGCCTAGCATGAGTCCCTGATGAGAACACTGGCAGCTTAGCTGCACTGCATTAAGGTACCTGCACCACATGCCACTCGGCAGAGGTAGACAAAATGGGCAGGGAACATGAGACAATCCGAAACTTGGGGACCTTCCAAATCTTCTCTCCAGGGCCCCTCACACTTTCCTTCTTCCCCTTCCTGTCCTCTTTGAGGCCAAGAAGTTCACATTCAATTAACATTTACTGAGGGCCTACTACGTGCTGAGCCCCAATGCCAAACAATTTTGCAGACAAAGAACTCAGACCTTTGCTTCGCACATGCTGTTCCCTCTGCCTGGAACCTGCTTCCTTATACATGGTGGCAGCGTAAATGTCACCTGGTCAGGGAAGTGCCTGCCCAGGCGGGAATGCCTCAGTGTTCCCTCGGAGCGCCTATGACAACTGGAATGGCTCTCCCCAGCTGGACTCAGCTCCCTGCACTGGCATACAGGCGTGCAACACCTCTTTCTTGAATAAATTAAACAGCCTGTAAGGTAACAATAAAAGCCAGTGTTTACTGAGCACGTACCATGTACAGCCAAATGCTGTGCTGAGCTCCACGCAGACATCAGAGCGTTACAGCCATATCACGGCTGCACTATTATTACTCCTCTTTTACAAATGAAGGAAATTGCATCATCTCCCGCTATTCTTAAAGAATGGGAATCAGAACCTGGTAAGCAGATTGTCCAAGGCCACGGAGCTAATAAGAGAGCCGCAGCTCCCAATTCTTTCTCCAGAAGGCTCAGCTTACCTCCCTCTCTCCCCGGTGCCCAAAGGGGTGCTTCTTTCTCCTGTGCTCCCAGTGACCATTTTTGTCCCCTTCCTGAATTCTCAGCCTCCTCTCCCCAGGCACCCAATTCAGAAGTCTTCCTTGATTCCTCCCCTCACGTCCTACACCCATGGGCTCCCAGAGCCAAAGCTGTGCTTCAGCAGACATCCTGTGCGAAGACTCCTAGTCTTTCAGCCCTGGAGGGAGGGACAAACTGGGGCGCTCAGCTGGCCACTCAACACCCAGCAAACCAGGCAGGGAGGGCAGGCATCCCCTCAGTGAACCCACGCATGAGATCTGGCAGTTAAGCCTGGCTCTCCGCGCCCCACTTCCCACTACGTCCCCACCCCCCTTTGCCTGTATTTATAGCACTGATGAGCATGGGGGCCTGGAGGATGGAAGATGGGGGAAAAGGAGCGGCCTACCCTGTCCACAGCCACAGTGTGAGAGGTCAGCAAGGACCTGCCAGACCCAGGAGAGCCAGGAAGAACCCGGCTCCAGTTCAGGGGGCCACCCCACCGCCAGCCACGGAGGCCAGGGTAGAGCCACCATTACAGCAGTGAGCTCCAGAGGCCTGTCCTGAGTCACACAGGGCTGTGGGGACCAGAAGCTGCTGGAAGAATAGAAGCGAAAGGCAGCAGGGACTGACAAGGATGCCAGTGACCCGAGGGAAAGCAAAGGCGGGAAAGGCCCAGTCTCCTTGGAGTTACCTGCAGGAATGAAGGAAGGAGACGCGGGCACACTGTCCCACAACACGCAGCTGAGGCTGTCGCTTCCTTCTGGAAAACTTCAGGGCTCCCTGGTGACCACACTGGGGTCAAGCTCAAACTCCTTAGTGGGGCCTTCAAGGGTCTTCACGCCCTGGGCCCACCATAGCTATGTCTGGGCGAGGTGTTTCAGGCCTCCGCACCTCTGCCCAGGGGGGCTTCCTCTGCCTAGAATGCCCTCTCCCTCCACAGGCAGAGCACTCCCCGCCGTCCTTCAAGGTGCGGGAGGTTTCGCTTATACGATGATGTCGGGCACACCCCAGGGTTAGTGGGGGAAGAGCATGGGCTCCAAGGTCAGCTCCACCACCCAGCACGACTTTACCCTCCTAGGCTGCCTCCTCTGCAAAAAGGGAAGGTAACTGTTCCCACCTCACTGTGGTGGGAGGATGAAACTCAGTCATTCATGAAAGCACTTTGAACTGTGCCTGGCACACAGTAAGTGCTTAATGAACGAGCTGTTGTTGCTACTGTTCTCCAGCCCCACTAGGGCCCTCTGTTTCCACCACAAGCAGAGCACTCTCTGTCGCATATCTGTTACACGGTGGACAGCCTCAGCCAACCACAGCCTCTTAAAAGACACAACCCACGACTCAGCACGGTGCTGGGCACACAGTAGGTCTTCAGCAAGTGCTCACTGCCTGTGAAGGTCCAGTGGTAGACTCCCCCAGAGTTCTCCCAGGGCCCGGCAGCTGGCCTTCCACAACTCACAGACCAAATCCCCAGTCTCAAGGCCCAGCAGAGTGAGAAGGGTATTTATTCACAGTTACTTGGTTTCAAAACAATAAAGGACCGTACTCTGCCTTCCCACTCCAGGGAATTCACAGGGAGAAATGAGCACAGGAGGGACTGGAAATAGCATGGAGCCCCTCTTGGGGAAGAGAGCTCGGCCGGCCCACCAGAAACCAGGAGCAAACCCTCGAAGGCAGAGGAGGAGAAAACAGCCTCCAGACAGAAGCCCGAGCTCCACAGAGCTCGGCCAACACCAGTGAACTAGGACGAGATCACTTGCACCCATTCTGCCCTGAAGCTCTTCTTCCCACCCACTTGGAGGCCTTTAGAAGGGGTTCCTGGTGTAACCCACTACCACATGGGAGCGACTCAAAACACATCCAGAATCCCAAAGGCTGCACAAAGGAGCCAGGGTGCCTGTGGCCAATTCTTGGGGGGAATTGATGGTGACTTCTCCATGCACACTGGCTATGGGGGCCTTGTGTCTGGATTGGGGTCACTGTCTATGTCCATCTCCCCAGCAGACTGGAAGCCCTTAGAGGCCAGGCATCAGGTCCCATTCATCTTTAGAACCCTGTGCCCCTAGCATAGTACCTGGCATGTAGTAGATGCTCAGTAAGTTACAAGGCAGCACACCTGGCAGCAAGAGAGGTCCTGGTTCATGGATGACTCCATCCAGGCCTGCCACATACATGGACAAGGAGTCATGTGCTCCCTCTGGGTCTCAGTTTCCTCATTTGTAAAGAGGGATAACAAACAGTTCTGTACACGCACAGCCTCCGAGAGAATTACCTGGGGAAATATACGTGGAAAGCACCAAAGCATCAGAGGAATGCTAGTCAGCCTTCCAGTTTCAGCTCAGCTCCCCTCGCCCCCTCCACCCCATGTTGGAACCTTTTCTGCTGGCCACGTTTCCCCTCCCCCAGCACTGAACCCACTCTGCATTCCCTCGACTGTTTTAGACTTTTCACATCACTGTGACTACTTGATTCTAAGTTTGATTCCCCGACCGACCTGAGAGGTCCTGGATCCCAGGGGCATCATGTGTTTCTGTTCAAAGCCTAATAAAATGAGCACACAGACCTGACCGCTGGGGCCTTCCCACCCCACGGTCCCAGCTCTGATACACACGGCACCCTCCAGCAAGATGTCCCGATGTGCAGAGCCTAGGGCGCCCACCAAGCACGCTGAAAAGGAAGGGAGATAGGAAGCGACGCTGCACACACAAGCTGTGCAGGAGTCACACCTCTGAGACCTGCGCTGCCTTTGCAGGTGCGTGAGCTTATTTGCCTGGCTGCCTCCGCAGCACAAGGGCCTCCAGGGCACAGATTGCTGCTGCTTTCCTTACAAAAAGCACCCAGCAGTCAGATAAATAATACATGACCTTCTCCTCACACGCAGGTATCAGACGTGCAAACACCTGCTTTGCCCCACAGTGCCCTGGGTGTGGGTGTGTGCAGGTGTGTAATGTCTGGCCTTGCACAGCCCCAGAGGGGAAACGGGTTGGGAACAGATACACCCACCTCTCAACCCCACCTCCTTGCCTTGGCCTAGAGTCAACTAGCACTAGACCCAAGCAGTGTGCTCAGAGAAGAAATGTCTGGGATGGATGCACACACCCTAAACCAGTCTCTGCGTTCCTTTTCCAAGCACATATCCTTGGAGCCCCAAGGTGCCCCTCCAAACTGCTGACCTGTATGCAACGCGTGTACACCTTCATGCACGCATCCCCAGAGGCCTCGCCAGGCTAGCCACCAGCCCAGATCACAGCTACCCGCACAGGGCAAGGCTGACTCCCCCACTCACTAGGCTGTGCCAGGCGCCAGCACACCCACCGGGCGCACACCATCCCACTTGCAAAGGGCCTGTCCATCCGCTTCCCCTCTCTCCCGGCCACCCCCACGGGCAGGTCCGATTACACTCCAGGCGCGGGCCCCGCCACGCTGGCGAGGAGGGGGCAGCGCACACCCACGGGCGGCCCGCGACCTCGCAAGGTGGGGAGAGAGCGCAGGGCGAGACGGGCGGGGCCGCAGACGCCCCCTCCCTCCCCGCCAGGCCGGCCACCTTCGTCCGCTCCCCGCCCGGGGACCCGCGGCCAATGCGACCCGCGGGGCGCCCCCCGAGCGGGCCTCTCCAGAACTGGGCAGCCCCGCCGCCCCCGGAAGCCCTCGGCCGCCCCCCTAGGGGTCTCCAGCTCAGGGCCGGTGGGTAGGGTACCTCAGGAGCCCATGGCGGCGCGTGTGCGGGCGACGCGCGGCAGCCGGACTGTGAGAGCGAGGCAGGCTGACGGCACCGCAGCCCTAGTATCTCGCCGCCGCCGGCTCGTCCCAGGCCCAGCAGAGTGCCGCCGCGGCGCGCCTGCGCACCGAGCGCGCCGCCGGGGAGGGCGGGGCGGCGAGCGCGAGGCTGAGATCACCCGCCCGGCCTTAAAGGAGCCGCCGTCCCAAACCCCAGGTGGTGGGAGCGATCCCGGCTCTCCTCCAGCCGATCGTAAACTAGTCAAGAGTCGCCTCCCCAACCTCCATCCCACCCCCAATCCTGCCCACCAGTGAGCTTCTTGGGGTGCAGGGACAGAGTCTTGGGCTCCAAGCTCTGTCCCTGGCACTCGCTGGCTGTATGGAGCTTCACCTCTTTTCCTCCATTTGGGCCTGTTGGAAGATAAAACAATATCTAACGGCTATTTGTCGAGTGAAGGATGCATGTGGAATTGTGGAATGAATGCATACTGAGGTGCTGTGTGCAATAACGCGAAATGAAATTGCAAAACAGAGAAAGAGGTTTTTCTTCCCACTCCACCTAGCAGCGCTTCCTTCCTGCCCCACCGAGCTCTAGGTGGCCTAACTAGCAAAATTCTTCAGATATCATTCAAACCGCCTAGCCCATTTCTGTTTGCCAGGTTCACACCCAACTCAGTTTAACTAAAAAACATAAAATCCAATCAAGTTCCGGCTTTGGTGTGTTCAAGATCCCCAAATGTATTTCTATCCCCAGCCCAGTCTCCTCCCGTGAACTGTGTACTCACCATCTCATACCTGAGGTTCCAATAGGATCTCAAAGTCAACATGCCCACAACAGAACCATTTCCTCTCAAACGCAGAGACCTGCACTCTCACAGCCTCCCCACAAGAACGGTTAGCAGCTCCATCCTTCCAGCCCCCAGCCTAGAACTCCTGGAATCATCCTTGAATCCCTCCTCTCACCCCTTTACCCACTGGAGCAGGAAATTATGTACCTGCAAAATATATCTAGACTCTGACCTCTTCCACCCCATCTCCACTGCCACCACCCCATCCACTTTCTGTCCAGGATTATTGCAATATTCTTGTTATGGACTGAATGTTTTTATCCCCCCAAAATTCATATGCTGAAATCCTACCCCCCAATGTGATGGTATTAGGAGCTGGGGCCTTGGGAGGTGATTAGGTCATATGGGTGGAGCCTTCATGAATGGTATTAATGCCCTTAAAAAAGAGACCCCAGAGAACTTTCTAGCCTTCTTTCTGCCATGTGAGAATACAGTAAGAAGTTAGCAGTCTATAATCCAGAAGAGGGCCCTCACCAGAATCTATCACGCTAGCAGGCACCCTGATCTCGGACTTCCAGCCTCCAGAACTATGAGAAATAAATGTCTGTTGTTGATAAGCCACCCAATCTATGGTAATTTGTTATAGCAGCCCAAGCTGATCAGGGTTATTGCAACATTTTCCTAACCTGTTTCCCTTTTTCCAGCCCTGCCCCGTGTCCCAGTCTACTACATTGCAGGAGCCAGAGGGATTCTTTTAAAACCTAAGTCAGAACAACGCACTTCTTTGCCCAAAGCCTGCCATTGGCTGTGCATTTCACTCTGAATAAAAGCCAAAGTCCTTACAAATCCCTGCAGAGCTTTGCTTCATCTAACATTCCATCCACCCAGCGGTATCCGACCTCATCTCCTCCTCTTGCTTCCCTCCACACTGACCCCTTGCTGTTCCTAGAACAAATGAAGCACGCTTGGCCTCAGATCCTTGGCACTGGCTGTTCCCTCTGCTGGGATTGCTGTTCCCTCAGACACCTGAATGCCCCCTCCTTCACTTTCTTCAAGGGGTTGCTCACGTGTTCCCCACTCAGTAAGGCCTGCCCTAACCACCCTAGTAAACTTGCCAAACCCCTTACATGCGGTCCCGATCCCCCCTTTCCATGCTCTAGTTTTTCCCACATCACTTAATTTCTATCATGACATAGTTTGCCTGTTTTACTGTTTGTCTTCCACCAGTAAGACGTAAGCGCTACAAGGACAAAGATTTTTGTCCTTTTTGTGTCCTGATATAATCCCAGTACTTAGTACAAGGGTTGGTATAGAGAACATGCTTAAAAACGTTCTGTAGCATGAAGAGTCCTCTAGGAAAAGTCCTTCCCAGCCCCCAGGTAGGAAGTTGCTCAGGGCTTTCCAGCACACAAACAAGGCTTATCATCAGTTGCATCATCATCATTTGTTCATGACTTCCCAGCTCTTCCTCCCTGCACAGGAACGCCCCCCCACCCCCAGGGCAAAGTCCTTGTCTTAATTACCACCATATCTTATGCTCAGCGTAGAAGCCAGACACGATTTGACATCCAGAGTGGTCAGGCCAAACCACACCCTAACTCAAGTTGTTAGCCCCTGATCACTAAGGGCACTCTGAGTCTCAATTTACAGAGGCCCTAGGCTGACAGGGGCAGGGGCAGGGGCAGGTGGTGGGTATTTTTAGGCTTGGGTTGCCAGAAAGGGGCTCAAAGACAGAAAGTCACCTGGCCTGAGTGACATGGCAGGTCAGCAGCAGGTGGCACTGTGAGCCCTAGTCTGTTGCTCCCTGGCTTTCCTCATCCTCTCTCCAGGCTGTCTAATTTAGAAGTAAAAATTTACCCCTCTGTCACCACCCCACTCCGTGCAAATGCCCATTCACCCTGGCTCAAAGATGCCACTCACATCAGCCCCTCTCCCTTCCATGCCGGGGCCACTGTCCTGGTTCAGGTCCCCTTATTTCTGGACAATTATAACAGTTCCCCAACCCACTAGTCACCTTTACCCCTGCTCACTGGCTACTGAAGGAGCGAGCCTTTCTCCACCTCCAGCAACCAGCTACACTACTCTTCCTTCAAAGGCCAAATCTGATGTCATCTTTTGGTTCTTTCTTGATTCCCGCCTCCCTCACTCTCCTCTCCTCCATTCTGGTCTAATTAGTTTCTCCCCAACAACAAAAAAAATCGCAAATAAGCTGAAATTCATCAAAGAATAGTTAAGTAAATTATGGTAGATCCATACAATGGTATACAGTGTAGATACTGAAACAGCCACTTTACACATCTCAAATAATAAGGGGAAATGACTAGGAATAATACTGACTGGAAAAGGTAGTAATAAATTTGCATGATAGCCTGATCTGAACTGTTTAAAAATTTTTTTTTTCTTTTAGGCTGAGAAGAAAGATTGGAAGGAAATAGAACAAAATGTTAACAGTGGGTTCTCCTAAGTGGCAGAATTATGAATATTGGTTACCTTCTCTCTCTCTCTCTCTCTCTCTCTCTCTCTCTCTCTCTCTCCCTTATTTAATTTTTGTTTCTCTGTATTTACCAAAATGTTTGCAAAAAGCATGCAATCTCTTCAAAATAAGAAAAAAGTTATTTAAAGAAATGGTCTGGGACTTCCCTGGTGGCACAGAATCTGCCCGCCAATGCAGGGGACACAGGTTCAATCTCTGGTCCGGGAAGAACCCACATGCCGCGGAGCAACTGAGTCTGTACGCCACGACTACTGAGCCTGCGCTCTAGAGCCTGCGTGCCACAACTACTGAAGCCCGCACACCTAGAGCGCGTGCTCCGCAACAAGAGAAGCCACCACACTGCAAGGAAGAGTAGCCCCGGCCTACCGCAACTAGAGAAAGCCCGTGCGCGGCAACGAAGCCCCAACACAGCCAAAAATAAATTTATTAAAAAAAGAAGAAGAAATGGTGTGTTGTTCCCTTCTGTTTTCTTCTCTCTGTGCATCATAATTCATCTGAATGCATCTGTCTCCCCCACCAGACTAAGGGCCTCTCAAGGGTAATAGGGATCAAGTTGGATTATCTCTGCATCAAAAATCCACTCCTAGCATCTGTAGGGGAGTGCAGAGGAAAGAGCCAGGGCCTCAGCTGTGCTGGTGAAACCGTGCACCTCAGATTCGGACTTGAACCCACGTGGCTGGGACTCGAACCTGGCCAAAAGCTCAGGTTCTTGATGTCTCACGGCAGAAAGAATTCAGTGAGAGACAAAGTGATAGGTAAGAAGTGGATTTATTTAGAGAGAAACACACTCCACAGGGTGTGGGTCATCTCAGAATGTAAGAAAGGCACCAGGGTACGGGACTGTCAATTTTTATAGGGGTGGGTAATTTCGTAGGCTAATGATTGGGAGGGGTATTCCAGCTATTTTAGGAAGGGGCGGGGATTTCCAGGAATTGGGCCACCATCCACCTTTGATCTTTATGGCCTGTCTTGGAACTGTCACGGTGCGTCATTTAGCTTGCTGATGTGATCGTATACTGAGGCTCAAGGTCTAGTGGAAGTGACTTGTCTGCCATAGTGAACCCATTTGGTTGTAATCAGTTTATGTCATGTCCTCAGGCTATGTCATTCTTTCAAAGGTTGTGCCCTGCCCACCTTCCCTCCAGTTTCACTGGTGCTAGCTAATGAGTGGCCCAGAGCCCAGAGCACTCTAAATCCATTTACCTGCAGTCTCTGCGTCTCCCACGTTTCCCCAAGGATGCTGTGGGAGCCCTGGCCAGGTGTCCTGGAGAAGCAGTGTGGTGTGGAGGGCAGAGCACAGGGCCAGCTCCATTTACTTCCTAGCAGTATGATCTTAGGCATGTGGCTTTGCCTCTCTGAGGCTCCGTTTCCCCATCCATATGTATGAAAATGTCGACACGGTATTTTGCACGCAGCTGACAATCATGCTGCAGTCTATAGCATGGGGCTGCCGAAGTCCCGGCTAACTTTTAACCTGAATCAGACCCTTTTGGTTGCAACGGACTAAAACCCAATTCAAACTAAGTTAAACAAAGGAAGGGAATTTAAGGGCTCACTTAATTAGGAAGTGCCAGGCAGAGCTGGATTTGAGGCCTCACACACCATCATTAGGACACCTCATTCTGTTGGGGGTGTGTGTGTGTGTGCGCGTGTGCGCGCGCGCGCGCGCGCGTGTGTGTCTCGGCCTCATTCCCAGGTGGTCTTTACCCCGCAAAGGCACAGAGAATACGTCTTTCCTAAGAATTCCGAAAGTTCTGTTCCATACTTGCCTCCGATTGGCCCATCTTGGGTCTCTTTCCCATCTCTGAGCCAATCACTGTAGCCAGGAACTGCAGTGCTCTAATT